GTTGTGACGATTCTTTCAAGATTCTAACGCCTTGTGGCTGAAGATTATCGTGAGCAAGTATGAGATGCATCTATTTTACTGGGTCTCACCTAGTGGGCTTAAGATTTCGTAAAAAGAAAAATACTTGGAAGGCTACTTCTTCTATCTTTCCCTCGTTTTGAGATGTTATATTGGGGATGATTTCGATACTTATCTTTGGGAGGATTACTGAGTGAATAAATCACCTTTATGATATGATGTTGCATTCGATGGCCTCTGTTTTGACGTCTAGGGTGAGTTCATCTTTTATTTTCCTGATTCTCTATCGTCCTTTGACGCATCGGGAGACGTTGGAGCTTTCAGCCTTGCTTTTGTTGTTGAGGGATGCCCATCTTTTTCTAGGGAGGAAGGATTTATGAGTTTGGTCCCTTAGTCTGTGATGGGGTTTCTCTTGTAGCTCTTATTTTCATCTATTGAGCCTTCCCTCACTTTCCATTAATGCCCTCACTATTTGACTCACTCTTAAAGGTTTAAATTCTGGAGAACGACCAATTATTTGCTTGACAAGTCTTACACGAGAAAGTCTATACTTTGGATCGCATTTAGAGGTGTTATTCCTTATTTGTTGGGGGCCTTAATGGTGTATTATATGTAGAAGTGCCTTGGATGACCTTGATCACATCCTATGGAGATGTCAGTTTGCTTATACTATTTGGGGTTGTTTCTTGGAGTTGTTCAAGGCGTCCTTGGCTTATAACATGGAGTGTTGGATGATGCTGGAGGAGGTGTTGTTGTTCCCTCCCTCTCGAGATAAGGGAAGGTTTCTATGACAAACTTGTTTGTGGGATATTTGGCTCGAGAGAAAGCATATAATTTTAGAGAGACTGAGAGGTATTGAGAGGATATTTGGGAGCTTATTAGATTTAATACCACCCTGTGAGAGTCTATTTCTGAAGTCTTTTGTAATTAATAGTTCGGTGTTATTCTTTTGAATTGGAACCCTTTTCTATAGGTGAGCCTTTTTTTTCTTTTTTAATAAGAAACAACTTTTCATTGATGTATGAATATATGAAAAGGTTGAAAAATGTTAAAAACTATAAACTCACAAGGGAGTAAAAAGAAAACAAAACTTCCAAATAAACAACAAATCTGCAATGAGTGTGCCTCTTTTTGTTTAGCTGATTTTTTGTATGCTATTGCTCTTATATATTATTTCTCCCAACGAAAGCTTGATTTCTTATAAAAAGAAAAATTTGTTTTAGGCTGATACTAAAACTAGAAGATTGTAAAATTGTATGTCCTTATGTCAGTATAAATATGACTGCAGAATTGTTCCCTCTTGATTTTTTACGATATACTTTAAGTTGACTCTCACTCTCCCCATACAATTATGCATGTCAAATAGTGATACTATCATGTATCAGTTTCATCATGTAGTTGAAAGGAAGCGATTCTGCCCTATTTCTTATGCCACTGTTACTGAGCAATAATATTTCAACTTCATTTAACTTTCCCTTTTCTTTCAGGTTTCTCGATCTCTTGCAGCCTGTGAGGGTGCTCTCCTCGTTGTAGATGCTTCACAGGTATATCATTTTGGGTCAGGCAAATTTGGTTAATTTTTTATGTGTTGTATCCGCGAAAATATCATTTCTTTCGATGGAGAAGGGGATCTTCCTTCTTATATTTCTACATCTAGGATCCGACTTGTATCATTGATGGTTTCTCTGTGTTAATTTTAGTTGGTTATTTATCTTCCAGCTTGCTACATAGGTTGGAAATAGTGTGCTTCATGAATTTCACTATTTGGCAATGCTGGCTTTGAGTCTGTTTTTTTTTTCCATAGCAAAACTTTCGTTTTATTTTCTTTTGCTTAGTCTAACCTATATGCAAATCTGTATTAGGGTGTGGAGGCACAAACATTGGCAAATGTCTATTTGGCTCTGGAGAACAATCTTGAAATTATTCCCGTAAGTTTGATTTGGTTGAGTTCTACTTATCTTTTTGGTTTACCAAGGATAGTTTTTCATTGGTTATGCGCTTATTCAGAATTTTTTTTTTGAACAAGAAACAAACTTTTCATTGATAATATGAAAAGGAAAAAAAAAGTTCAAGGATACAAGCTCCAAAGGAAGAGAAAAAGGAAAAAGAAAAAATAAACAGCACATCGAAAACAAAAACCCATAAAAATATGAGAACCGAAGCCCAAGAACACATGTTGAACACTGATTACAAGAAAGCTCGCCAAAACAATGGACAAACTGCTGAGGAGGAAACCAAAACCATCACTTAACACAAGCAAATCACCAGAAGAGAAGAAACTGAAACCTCCCTCCACCAAGAGAAGACACAAAAGTGAAAGAAACTCAGAATAATGTTTATTGGGGTCAAATTATGAGTTTGGTTTTTGAACTTTCATGAATGTGTCTAATAGATACTTTTTCTTTTTTTTCTAAACAAGATACAAGATACGAACTTCCCATTGATATAATAAAAGGAAAATATAATGCTCAAGAGATACAAACTCCCAAAGAGAGTGGAAAAAAGCAAAAAAAGAAAAAAAAAGATAACAGCCAAAAGATGTGATAAAAATCAGAAGATATAAGATGAAACAAACTGATGAGGAAAAACCAAACGTCTTGACAAGGAGGTACTGTCACTTTCACTTAGAAAAGAAAACTTGAAAAGACCATCTTCAAGAAATTTTAACTTCTGGCTCCTCTTCTAGACCCAAGGCTTTGTATTTGTCAAATATTTTAGTATAACCATCGGCTAACTCCTTCTGCTCCGATTGTAGATCCAACTTTCTTCTACCCTGTTCTTCTTTGCAAGATGTCATTTCTTTTCTCAATCTTTTGAATTCCAGATTTTGAAAATCAATCCAACTTTATAAGGTAAAAAAAAATTTGGAGGAGGGGGATAAGATGACAGTTGAATGATGAAACTAATAAGCTTTGGAATTCAAGAGACTATATATATATATATATAAATGATGAAGCTGCCAAGAAGATCCTTCAGATTCCACAACCAAAAAGAAATTGATGCTTGCAAAACAGCCATTGATCCCACACTACTTTCTAGAGACCCTTCGATTATATAAAATATCAATTTTCAAAGTGACCCTTGGACTTGCAAAGGAAGGACCCAAATAAATTCTGAAATCCAAAGGACAATTTTCACTGCTGTATTTTCTATTTCTTTTTAATAAAAGACAAAACCTGACTTCAAAATCTTCGTTGGAGACAGATCTGAGTGAGTCTGGCCCATTGTTAGAAAATGGATGGTCTCGTTGCAAAAAATTTGCTTGCTGGAACAAGATTAAGTTTTGTGTAATCATGGTGGCTTCAGCAAGTGCAAAAAGATGTTTAAAAACTAAGGATAGAGATACCAGAGAGACGTACACGAGAAAAGAGAGAAGAAATAAATTCTTCTCAAATTGAGTGATTAAAGATGAGGAATAGATGCACTATATATAGGTTACAAGAGGAAACACAATCTAGGAATAACCTCCTAACTTCCCTAACAAAAAAGAAGATTTATTTGCTAAATTTAAACACAAAATCTAAACAACTTTGAAATAACTTCTAAATAAGTCTACATAATCTAAACTTCTAACTAATTCAACACTCCCCCTCAAGCTCTGGACTATACAGATTGAATAGTTTCAGCTTGACAAACAATCTTTCAAACACGGGCCTCAAGAGTCCTTTTGTTAGGATATCTGCAGCTTGATCTGATTCATGCCCTTTACCAATAGTCTTCTTCGTAGTAAGATCTCAAAATAAGCAATAACTAGGAAAGAATAAGACATAACAATTGAGATCACGAGTAAGTTTACTGACAGAGATCAAATTAAAAGAAAATTGTGGCAAATTTAAAATAGAGGTTAATGAAAGAGTTTTGGAGAGATGAACTGTGCCAGAGCCAAGAACAGGAGAAGTGGTGCCATTCGCTATTGTAACATCAGGTAAAGATGTAGATGGTGAAAAGGTAGCAAATAAATTGGGGTTACCTGACATATGATTCGTAGCACCAGAGTCAATGACCCTTTTTGACGTGGAGGAAATAAGACATTTATTGGTATTACCTGAATCAGCAATGATAGTAATTGGATTAGAGGATGATGCCATCAATGACTCTTGATACTGTTGGAATTTAGCAAACTCTTCCGCAGAAATCATTACCATTAATTTCTTCTCGGTCATAACTTCAACAATATGGACACAAACAAAGAGCTGCACTGAAATAGACCAAACCAAATCTGAAGGAGGAAAGGGAATCGAACCAAACCAATTGAACAGAGCCAAGTGAACGAAACCAATTGAACCGTAACAAATGATTTGGACCAGAGCCGGTATCAATCAGACCAAACCGAACCGGAATGTGACGAACCAAACCGAACCGAACCGAACCTGAATCGGATGAACCAAACCTCTTGAAACCAAACCGGTTGAACTGGACCGCTTGAATCAGACTGCTTGAACTAGATCAGGTGTTTTCTGAAACCAGAAACCCTAAGTGCTACCTCACGACAACCAGAGGGGCGAAGGCGA